TCTGTGATCTGTCTTATATTGATGCGGTAAATTTTCTGGGTGTAAATGTTCCGATTTCTCTCTCTGATTCGCAGAAGTCGATGCTTGCACTAGTGGTCTTGGCCGTCGTGGCTACTCTTTGCCAGGCTGGTGGATACGGGTACGGAGGTGGATACGGCTACGGAGGGGGACATGGAGGTTATGGTGTTGGTGGAGTGTCTAACAACAACTTCCACCTCGCTGGTCCCAGAGGCTACGGATATGGACACGGTGGCGGCTATGGCTACGGAGGATACGGTGGCGGTCATGGCGGCTTTGGTGGCGGCTACGGCGGTCATGGCGGCTTTGGTGGCGGCTTCGGCGGCCATGGTGGCGGATACGGATACGGCAAGTAAACGACCGGACTCAACGACAGATCCCTTCACATAAACAAAGATTATATAATTTAAAAATCCCAACGATATCCCCAAAGTGTACCCTGTACGACCACTGATCTGCGTGTACACAAACATAAGTAAAATATTTATTAATTTTTGAGTTTGTTTTGCCTGTTATAAGAAGCTGTGTTTATTTTAAATGACAAAGACTATGGCAACTAAGACCTTCAAACTGTCATTGTGAATAGCTTAAAATTTACGTTATAACGTGATTATCACACATATTACATTGTCTGGTCGGTAGAATATCTGTCTGGTCCTTTTGGTTAGTGTTCGAGGCTCCAAGGTTTGAAATAAATGAAATATTAATATCCACTCTAATGTGGTTTGCAGTTTATATGACATAGACAAAGTAGATACAGAAAAAAACCTACAGACACCTTAGTGGAGATCTAGGCACACGCTCTAGACGATTTCTGTGGTTCCTGGTTCCTGGTTCGGCTTCAGTAGAAGTCTCAAGGAATCCAGGCTGGTGCAGTAGTTCCCTAGGTTACAAAAATTGTTTGAAATTGAGACATGCTAATTATTTGTATTTACAACTTCTAAGAGGAATATTATTTTTTTATTGAATGTGGATACTTATGCATAGAAAAAAAAAGCTTAGTGAAACACATTGGGCATAATTATCAGGCTACATGTTGGGAGATAATTTCCCGCATTCTAGATTTCTCCTCCCTCTTAATCTCTCTGTCTCTAATTCTCTCTCTTCTGTCTTTATCTCTCTTCCTCCCTCTTTCCTGTCTGAATTTTATGAACGATGAGAATTGCAACATACTTTGTGATTGGCGTATGGCCCGTTGAGCTCTACGAGACGACGGCAGAGACTGTTTTGTTGATAATGATTTAGTGACTAGTTGTCCTCCCTGAAGAAATGAGAAGAATTATCAGAAGAAAGCACTTAGCCATTACGACTATATAGCACTTGGAAGAGATCAGGATAAGGACTAGCACAAACAAGAAGTTAGGAGGTTGCAACCCGTTCTCACACTTTCTTTAAGTCAATATTGACTTATTAAATAAGTGCATATGTGACATACTAATTTATTGTGAATATTTTAGTTTACCTTGAAAAGCTTCATAGAAAACTCCAACCTTACCTAACCTTCTTAGTATGATAAGATAAGCATCTTATTGCTTCGTAATTACAATTATTACTTAACCTATTATAGATATAGGTTAAGTAATAATTGTAATTACGAAGCAATAAGATGCTTATCTTTACATACTAAGAAGGTTAGATAAGGTCGGTGTTTTCTATGAAGCTTTTCAAGGTAAACTAAAATATTCACAATAAATTAGTATGTCACATATGCACTTATTTAATAAGTCAATATTGACTATAAGAAAGTGCGAGAACGGGTTGGATAGGTAAGCTTAGGTTAGGCTAGGGTAGGCAGAATAACTTTAGAGTCGTCTAACGAACATTAAAACGATGAACTAGAGACATGAGCTTAACTCTAGTGCTTTGCGCGCAACGGAGGCGACGGTGTGTGACAGGAGGATGACATGAGGGAGATGAGAGGATACTTAATAAAGCGTTAGTATACCCGCTTTTATTGGAGGGGATATAACCAGCAGGTCGCTAAGGCAAAGTCTGTGGGAGACTAATTGTAAACCCAAAGACGAGAAACTTGGATGGGATACTTGGGAAATCTCTGGAGACCCCATTAAAGTATACGCTGTTGTTGTTTTAGATTCAGTTATTCGGAATAAAATGTTTCAAGTAGCACGAACTATGGTGAGCCCGTAGTGGACTTACCAGGCACAGGAGCGGTCTTGTACCTGGTGAAGTATACATCCTAGGAACACTATGGGGTCTCCATTTTAAGCCTACGGTCTAGGAAGTCTGTTGAGTCTACACCCTAGAAAGTTTACATTAAAGTCTACGGCCTAGTAAGGCCATTTAAGTCTATGGGCTAACATCTGCATTTTATCTATGGTACTGAAGGGAAGAGTAGAGAATGTAGGGAGATGGAGACAGAAGATTAATGATAAGAAGAAGGAACGAAGGTCCAGATGGGATGGAGGAGGGGCCTAAGGGGATACTGCTACGTGAAGACGTGAGGGGCTTACGGGTAGTGGTAGATAGAGGGGTTTAATGAGGGGCTGAGAAATGAGGGTTTTGGGTTGGCTGCTGAGGAAAGGTGAGGTTATGGACAAGGGGAGTCGGATGGAGGGAGGGGTGGACTGAGGGACAAAGCTGATAAAAAAACGACATACTGAGGGAGACTTGCTGAGGGGAGGTGGACTGGGGAGCCAAGCGAGGGCTGAGAGGTTAAGGTGTAATGAAGATGCTATTGGTTATCTTGAGGTTATCTTGAGATAATTTTGGGTCCCCGCGGCCCGGTCCTCGACCAGGCCTACTTTTTGTTACCCCCCAACTCCATAGGAAGCAGCCCATAGCAGCTGTCTAACTCCCAGGTACCTTTACTGCTAGGTAACAGGGGGCATCAGGGTAAAAGAAACATTTTGCCCATTTGTCTCCGCCTCCACCGTGGTTCGAACCCGGAACGTTAGGACTACGAATCTGAGGCGAAGTCCACCCAGCTGTCAGGGGTCGTTAGTGCCGGTGCCAGGTGCCGGTAGTGAAAGGCAGAGAAGGAAATCTTGAGCTGAGTTGAGAATAGAACGAGAAGGGAAGGAGGGGGGGGGTGATTGACATTGCGGGAATGATAGTGTGGGGTGGTGATAGTGGTGGAGATGGGTAAGGTATGATTGGTTGGAGGAGAAGCCAAGAGAAGTATCACGAGAAAGCGCCAAGATTGATTCATTGACGAAGAATAAGTCACTCAAGGGTTGGCACGGGCATGAATAGACCGTAATGGAAGTGCTAAGCAATTACGACTACATATACAGCACGAGGAAGGGATCAGGATACCAGATTTACAGACCCATTCATGTGCCAGTTATGTTCACTATGGGCTCGCCATAGTCCGTGCTACTTGGAACTTTTTCCTTCCGAGTAGCTGAATCTAAAACAAGGGATCAGGATTTGAGATAGGACGGGAGGGAAGGAATGGTGCCTAAACACTTGGAGTGGTCAGGGATTGAATACTGGTCTGCACAATAGGAGACCGTCGCTCTACCGTCCAGCCCAAGTGGTTGGTTTGGTTGGAGGAGAGAAACAGGTAGAAATATGACAGCAATGTGTTAATCTCTGGTCAATAGTTGACTGCATATTTGTCCAAGAGTTTAGTTCAGCTTTCTATTATTCCACTTTTGTCAAAACTTTCTTCAATGAATACATTATTAATTGAAATAATTAATAACAAATCTAATGAAATAATTAAATATAATGAAATTTAATGATTATAATGAAATAATAAAAACTTTCTTCAATGAATACATTATTCATTGAAGTAATGAATGTTCATTGAAAAATATTCCTCCGTATCTCACAGAATGTGTTTCCACACGAACTATGTTGCATCCATGTTGGTAAACAAAACCAGAACAGGTCAGCATCTGAGTCTGTGTTTGCTATAAAGTCCGTTTCTGAGATTCACCACAATTTCACCTACCGACAGTTCATCATCCATTTTTAAAATTTCTACAAATTCCATCATTTCAAGGACTGTCTTTTCCAATTCGAAATCATTTCCACTTAAATCAGTCCTTGCAATATTACCACTGTTTTATTCTAAATTATTTCCTTGTTGGATTGTCCCCTATCACATTGTTTCTTATTGTGTCTATCTGTTATTCTTTACTATCTATACTGAACCTTATGTTTTCCTATGCATCCTCAAGTTTATCACATCCTGCCTCCTCTCGATTCCCATCCTCATACTTTTCTTTATTGATATACATAATTCGAAATCTCTATCTTTTCTATCCAACAGTTCTGATTTTATTTCCCACACTGTCCTTATCTTTCTTATTTTCTGTTTGTGAGAGTGAGCTTGAGCATCTTTTATTGTGTGGGCGTGCTTGTGTATTTACTATTTGTGTATGCAGAATTGAGCTATTAGCTCTTGGACCCCACTTTTTTAATTAATCTATTTACCTTCATTATATTTCTCTATAACACACTCACATATCCCCAGGAAGCAGCTGTCTAACTCAAAGATACCTTTTTACTGCTAGGTGAACAGGTAAATCAGGGCGAAAGAAACTCTGCCAATTGTTTTCGCCTCTGCCAGGAATCGAATCCGGTCTATTAGCACTATGACCCTAGGTGCTGTCCGATCAGCCGCGTGGCCCCCCATATGTGTGTGCTTGCATGCGTGCTTGTGTGTGTCCACGTATCTGTTCAAATCAGTCGTGCGTGATAATACTGCCCAAAACAAAGAAAAATGAACGTCTCATTGAGTTCACAGTATCACCAACCGATATATAATAGCATATATCCATACACCAAATTACATATCACATGCTAGCGATAAACACAGCTAATTATTGACAACACTTAAAAATGCTTAAAACATTTTAGATAATTTTTTCTATTACTATGCTAAGTTTTTTCTTTGCATGAAAGGAATTTTTAAAACAATTCAACCGCTGGAATAAGCCTGACCTTCACCGGGGTCTGGAAGCTGTGTATATAAAGGCTGAACTAGGAGAGTGTTATTCAGTGTACCGCAGATACTCTCCAGCTCCACATCATGGTAAGTTCTGCCTCCGGTATCCTCGCATGTGTTGGGATGCTGGCTCTGTGATCTGCCTTATAATCATGCGGTAGATATTCAGGATGTAAATGTTCTGACTTCTCTCTCTGGTTTACAGAAGTCGATGCTTGCACTAGTGGTCTTGGCCGTCGTGGCTACCCTTTGCCAGGCTGGTGGATACGGCTACGGAGGTGGATACGGCTACGGAGGTGGACACGGAGGATATGGTGTTGGCGGAGTGTCTAACAACAACTTCCACCTCGCTGGACCCAGAGGCTACGGATATGGACACGGTGGTGGATATGGACACGGTGGTGGATATGGCTACGGAGGATACGGTGGAGGTCATGGCGGCTTTGGTGGCGGCTACGGCGGCCATGGCGGCTTCGGCTTTGGTGGTGGCCACGGTGGTGGATACGGATACGGCAAGTAAACGACCAGATACAACGACAGATCAATACGTAAACAAAGATTTACTTGATTATAATTTAAGAATCTCAACGATGTTTCCGAATGTACACTATGCAATTATTGACCTACGTGTACACAGAGTTGAATAAATTATTTATGAACTTGTGAGTTTGTTTCCCATGTTGCGATAAGGTATATTGCCCAGGAGACAAACATTGAGACACATCAGATCTCTGGTACTTAAGTATTGACGCACTTCTCGGCCTACTTTACAAGGCCCGATTTGCCTAATAGACCGAGTGATTTTCTTTATTTTAAAAATATTGTTTCAAATTGGTTTATTTGAAATATTATTATTATATTATGATAAGAACATAAATTATTGACTTAGTTATGTTAGTTTAGGTTAGGTTAAGATAGGTTAGGTTAGGTAGGGTTGGTTAGGTTAGGTTCGGTTCGGATTATATCTACATTAGTTTTAAGTCAAATTAAATGACCTTAACTCGTACCTAATGATATGGATAGCTTTATCATTTCACAAGAAAAATATATAAATTCGAGAAAACTTGGCTTATTCGGCAAATCAGACCTTGCATAGTAGGCCAAATAGTGAGTTCTGGCTTGTAGGTACAACACACACACACACATATATATATATATATATATATATATATATATATATATATATATATATATATATATATATATATATATATATATATATATATATATATATATTATATGTTGGAGGTAAATCAAAAATCACTTCTCCAAAATTCATTTTTATTTTTAGTCTGACGCGACACGGGCGCGTTAGTATATTTTAGCAGCAGTCTTTCCTGTAGACATATATTATTAAATATGACTGAAAAAGTAAGATTAATAATTCTAACACGAATTTTCTCAATATTTCTTACGGTTCTTTTCACTGTCGATGGTAATTGAAAAATCAGTTCTCCAAAATAAATTTTTATTTCTAGTCTGACGCGACACTTGAACGCGTTTCGTAATAACTTATTACATTTTCAAATACTTTAGTTTACACACATAACTATAACCTGCAAACACTAAAACAGATTTCTTACTATGCAATAATTCAAATGGCTTTTCATTTTATATACCTGCATTTGGGTGAGATGATATGTTACAACAGTTTTGGATGAGGTGAAAACAAACTTTCAATACAAGATAAAACACGAAATATTAAGTAATATTGGGTAAAGTTAAAAGGGAAGAATTGAAGTAAATGCAAAGGGCCTATTGGCCCATATTTCTTGATGCTTCTATATTGGTGCGGAGTCTTGAAGTGGGTAGAATATAGTTGTGCATTAATTGGCTGTTGATTGCTGGTGTTGACTTCTTAATGTGTAGTGCCTCGCAGATATCAAGCCGCCTGCTATCGCTGTATCTATCGATGATTTCCGTGTTTTTTTGTTAAGGTGATGGTGTGGTTGTGGGAAGAGATTATGTGTTCCTTAATGGAGCCCTGTTGCTTATGCATCGTTAATCGCCTGGAAAGAGATGTTGTTGTCTTGCCTATATACTGAGTTTTTTTGAGGCTTACAGTCCCCAAGAGGGCATTTGAAGGCACAGACGACATTGGTCTCTTTCAAAGCGTTCTGCTTTGTGTCTGGAGATTTTCTCATGAGTAGGTTGGCAGTTTTCTTGGTTTTTTAGTAAATCGTCAATTGTATCTTCTGATTTTTGTCTGTAGGGATAACGTTTCTATTAACAATATCTTTCAGGACCCTTTCCTCCGTTTTATGAGCTTTGGAAAAGAAATTCCTGTAAAATAGTCTAATAGGGAGTACAGGTGTTGTTTTAGTTGTCTCTTCAGAGGTTGCATGGCGTTTCACCTTCCTTCTTATGATGTCTTCAACGAAACCATTGGAGAAGCCATTGTTGACTAGGACCTGCCTTACCCTACAGAGTTCTTCATCGACTTGCTTCTATCCTGAGCTGTGGCTGAGAGCACGGTCGACATAAGCGTTAACAACACTCCTCTTGTACCTGTCTGGGCAGTCACTGTTGGCATTGAGGCACATTTCTATGTTTGTTTCCTTAGTGTAGACTGCGGTGTGGAAACCTCCGCTCCTTTCCATGACTGTTACATCTAGAAAGGGCAGCTTCCCATCCTTCTCCATCTCGTAAGTGAAACACAACACAGAATTCCGCTCAAATGCCTCCTTCAGCTCCTGCAGATTTCTGACATCAGGTACCTGTGTAATACAGCCATTAATTCAATACAGCCGAATTGAAAGCAAAGGTCAACAAATTGATCGAAACTGTGAAAGCCAAGAAATCCGAACTCCACCTGCCAAAGATTATTAGGGAATTCAAACCTGGATACGCATATGGAAATGTCAAGACACACAAGCCTGGAAACCCACTTCGGCCAATCATCAGCCAGATACCCACACCTATGTACAGACTGGCGAAGCGACTCAACGGCTTGCTGACTCCTTATGTCCCTTGCGCCTTCAGCCTGAAGTCTCCAAAGGAATTTGTTGACTTACTGTGGGGAACACGAGCCACAGGGATAAGAGCCTCGTTGGACGTAGAATCACTGTTTACCAACGTACCTATGGATGAAACAATCGGGATGATAGCGGACAGAGTGTATCGTGATCCGCCCTGTACTCCTCTTGACATACCAGAAAACATTCTAAGGAAACTACTCCAAGCTTGTACTAAAGAGGCACCCTTCTTGAGCCCGGATGGGCACATGCATAAGCAAGTAGATGGGGTCGCCATAGGTTCTTCCCTAGGTGTCCTAGGGGAGAACCCATGAGCTAAACAATAATCTCGCGAAACAATTCCGTTGACTTAAAAAGTCAACGGAATATATAATTTTTTAGTAGCAGTTGTGTCGTTCTGATAAAACCGTAAAGATGTTCATTATTATGTAAGAGGTACCTGCTCGCTCCCTCGGCCTTATAGCTGTAATAATGTGCTATGTTGAGAAACTTACTACAATGCCGTAGTGCTTGAATGAAGAGGAAGGAAAGACCCAATATATGTGTCTGAGTATTAAAACCCAAATTTTCAGATGTAACCTAAATCCTTTCTCAAGGTGCTGATCCTTGAGAAGGGTGCAGCACCTTAAGTTTTTTTCAATGTACTCTGTAATACCAGTCTAGTGTCCCGGTCTGGTGTGGTTGTTGGAATGACTGACGCGTCTCGTGAACTGTGAAGTTGTCTGTTGACCAAACCACACACTAGAAGGTGAAGGGACGACGACGTTTCGGTCCGTCCTGGACCATTCTCAAGTCGATTGAGAATGGTCCAGGTGAATCGATTTGAGAATGGTCCAGGACGGCCCGAAACGTCGTCGTCCCTTCACCTTCTAGTGTGTGGTCTGGCCAACATATTTTAGCGACGTTATTGTGACTCATCGCCTGCATGTGAAGTGGTCTGGTTTGGCTACGGCTATTGGTATTGAATGCTGCATAGTAAAGACATGAATAGTCTGAATAGACACAGACAAGTTGCCTTTTTCCCAATTAAGAGATTAATTGATAATGAATTGTATCGAAAAAATAACTAAATACATACAGAATAGTATGATAGAAAGACAGGTTTAAAAGCCGGTACACGAGGAGATAAATATACATTATCAAATCAAGATTAAGAGTTCAACAAATAGAGAGTTTTAAAAGGGTGAAACTACACAATACATTTCATAAGGATCAAAATAAAATGAGTTTTAGTTGAAACACGTAAATAGAACACGAGAAATCAAACACATAGATGCATAAATAGTTTATTCAGCTCTGTGTACACGTGGAAGATCAATGGTTAGTACTTTGTACACTTTAGGAACGTCGTTGGGATTCTTAAATTACATAATCGTCAAAATATATCTTTCCGCTAGTGAATGTAGCTAGTTGTGTCCGGTCGTTTACTTGCCGTATCCGTATCCGCCACCATGGCCGCCGAAGCCACCACCAAAGCCGCCATAACCACCACCGTATCCTCCGTAGCCATAGCCGCCATGTCCGCCACCGTGTCCATATCCATATCCTCTGGGACCAGCGAGGTGGAAGTTGTTGTTAGACACTCCACCAACACCATAGCCTCCGTGCCCCCCTCCGTAGCCGTATCCACCTCCGTGTCCCCCTCCGTAGCCGTATCCACCTCCGTAGCCGTATCCACCAGCCTGGCAAAGGGTAGCCACGATGGCTAAGACCACTAGTACAAGCATCGACTTCTGTGAACCAGAGAGAGAGAAGTCGGAACATTAATATCCTGAAATATATCACAACAATATAAGTCAGATCACAGAGGCAACATCCCAGCACTTGCGAGGTTACCGAAAGTAGAACTTACCATGATGTGGAGCTGGAGAGTATCTGCGGTACACTGAATAACACTCTCCTAGTTCAGCGTTTATATACTCAGCTTCCAGTCCCCGGTGAAGGTCAGACTCGCTCTAACCTCTGTCTTTGGACGAAAAATAATTTGAAGACTATTTCATATTAGTCACATGTTAAAAAAAACGTTTAATAAATAATCTGAAAGCAAATATTATTAGATGTTTAAATTAGTTATCTACCGATATCAAATCAAGCAATAGGAACATATTTTCCCCCTGAATTCTATTCAGGACATTAAAACTTAGATAATATATTGATCATTGAATTATTGCTCTTGATTAATGCCTAATAATTCAATGATTTGAAAAAACGTTTAATAAATAATCTGAAAGCAAATATTATTAGATGATTAAATTAGTTATCTACCGATATCAAATTAAGCAATAGGAACATATTTTCCCCCCTGAATTCTATTCAGAACATTAGAACTTAGATAATATATTGATCATTGAAATATTGCTCTTGATTAATGCCTAATAATTCCTTACTGTAGTAACGCTCAATAAACAGGCGACAAAAGGCTGTATAAGGTGACGCAATGTTCTCCAATGCGACATAAAAGCAATCTGTGATGTAATGACTGTTTTGTTTAGTTACCGCCTTCAAGGTGGCCAGGTGGCAGCAGAAATGTATTTTCGATACTTTGCTTCTGTTTCAGCCTGTACAGAGATAATATCACGCAAGCGCTCTCCCAGCAGCGCACACGCGCGTGTACACCCCCCCTTTCCCAAACACGCACCCAAACAAACACACAGTTTTAGACAAACAAAAAACATAAGTAGTAGATAATATCGTAAAAGTACACATTCAGATTAAAACAAATATTTAGGTGATTTATGATATGCATTTAATATTAATATAGATTTATTATATGTATTTAATCCTAATATTCAGTATTTTACCCATCAAAACAGGTATCATCATAATCATTGGCATCAACATATCGTGAGCGAAAAGTATAAACATAAAAATATTTTAAAAACCAATCCCCAAAGCATGAAGTTTAGCTAATAATGATGATGTCATAGGAGAGTAATCCGGAAAATGATTACGATACTTTTAATTATTTTTATAAATATTATATAATTATATTGCAGAAACTTTTTCTTTGGAAAATAAATGAATGGTAAATGTCAATGCTGATGCTCTAGAAGACATGGTAAACGTTATTGCTGATGTTCTAGAAGACATGGTAAACGTTATTGCTGATGTTCTAGAAGACATGGTAAACGTTATTGCTGATGTTCTAGAAGACATGGTAAATAATAATACTGATGCTCTTGAAGTCACCGTAAATGTTAATGCTGAGGATCTAGAAGACGAAACTACAGACGAAAAAAATAACGGAAATATTTCAGCAGTCACGAATGTTAACAAAACAATTTTTTATTTAAACATAATAAAGAAATCATGCCAGACTGAAAAATGAAGTTGGAACAAAAAGGCATACTAGAAATAAAAGAAAACTCAAAATATTTCTTCATATATGTGCAAAGAAAAAATAATAATAATAATCCTCCAGTTATGGACTTATACCTGCAAAGCGAAGGTTCATATTCATAGAAAAATATGGAAATTAGTTAAATCCTTAAAGATCTGTGTGATGTTTTATTTAGCCCCCAATAATCAACATGTAAGTGGAAGATCTGGACGGTTTCTCTATAAATGATACCCAAACCCCTGACAGTGTAACTAATATCAATAAGAACATTGCGGCTTTCGAAAGAGAAAGTAACAATATGCACATGTTCTTAGCACCAGGACCTGAATCTTGGTATTCAATATCCGTAAAGAATGTAAAGTACAGGTAATGCGACTGTTTTTGTTTACATGGAGAAAAAGCTTGGACACGGGGGAGAGTCTAAGAGCACCTAAATCAACCGATATAAATGTACTACACAAGGGAGGAATTAAAGCTTAGGCAAAACCCTATAGACCAGTCTCACTAACATCTAACATATTAAAAGTTTTATAAAGAGTGGTTAGGAGTTTTTTTTTTATAGAAGTTGTTTAGAGAAGAATGGACTCTACAAACCAGGTCAGCAAGGATTTGGACCGGGAAGATCCTGTCTTTCGGAATTCATCAACCACTATATCAAAATCACAGAGGCAATAGAAGAAATATAAAATGTAAAAGTTATATATAAACAGTTTGCAAAGGCATCTGATAAATATGACCATGAAATGATAGCCCATAAAATGAGATCGTTAGGAAGAACGGGTAAAGTGGACCGTTGGATTATTCATTTTGTGTCAAACAGAACGCGAAAAGTAACAGTCACTTAAATAAAATAAAATCTAAGCACAGTGAAAAGCTCTGTACTTCAGGGCACAGCCACTGCTTTTCTCATTCTTCCTTCAGATAAAAAGAAATCTAGTCACCTTCGAGTCAGCCTTTACAGATAAAAAATCAGCATGAAAATTACCTCTGTAGAGGACACTGAAAAATCAACAAACCCGTATTAATAATGTCTTCGATTGAGCAACGGATAATAGTATGATATTTTACAGTAATAAGATACTTAGGTATGAAAGAAGTGATGAACTTCAAGATAATACAGGGAGCAAGACATGATGAGATCACCTCACACAACTGAAAAAAAAGCATGTAAAATATTTGGGAATTATATTGCCTAAAGACCTGACATTTAGTGCCAAGCAAATATAGCGTCAGCCAGGCAACCAAGTTCAAGACTATAGCAACGAAAGTTAAGAATATAAAAATGTCATGACAACTATAACCATGATCAAGACCTGAGCAGCAAAGGTCTTGACCGTAACAACCAAAATTAGGACCACAACTTCCAATGTCAAGACCTCAACAACCCGTGTGAAGGCGACATGTACCAAGTTGAAAATAACATCTAAGAACAAGACCACAAAAGCCAAAGTCAAGACAACAACAATAACTAAGGTACAGACCAAAACAACCTAGATCAAGATCACAGAAACTAAGGGCAAGACCACAACTAAAAAAGGTCAACACCCCAATAACCAACGTCTTGACAACAGCACCCAAGTTTAAGTCCACAACAACCAAGGCCAAGACCACAGTACCACAGGTCAAATCCACAACAACCAAGGCCAAGACCACAGTACCAAAGGTCAAGTCCACAACAACCAAGGCCAAGACCACAGTACCAAATGTTAGGTCCACAACAACAGTGGTCAAGTCCTTAACAACCAAGGCCAAGAACCAAAGGTCAAATCCACAACAACCAAGCCAAAATCCAGAGGTCAAGTCCAAAACAACCAAGGCCAAGACCACAGTACCAAACGTCAGATCCACAACAACAACAGTGGTCAAGACCACAAGAACCAAGACCAAGACAATAACAAAGCCAAGACCACAACAATCAAGATCTAAACCACAACAACCGAGTTCTAAACCTTCAAAAACCAAAATTCCAAAACAATTAGAGACAAGATCACAACATCCAAGGCCAAGACCACAACAAATAGGGGTCAATACCCCCCAAAAAAATCCAGGTGAACACAAAAAAGAATGATGGGAAGACACTGGCCTCCCTCAGAGGCAGTTACTTAGTTGGTCAAGAACTGAGAAACTTTAATTCATTTTACATTGACCTTTTTTTTTTGGCACTATCGCCCTTTTGTTTTTTCTTTTGTTTCCTATGCTTTTGTGATGGTTGTGAAAAGACTCTGAGCCGGGGAAAGAAGGCCAAGGGGGCCACCACACCACCACTCATTCTTGTAACCATTTTGTCACTGGGGCTAACTGGCACGCGAAGTGGGGTACAGGGAGTGGCCGGAGGAAGCTTAACATAGGAGAGAGTAAACATAGTACCAAACATGGCTTAACATGGGAAACTAAACAAAGGAGGAGCTTAACATAGGAAACTAAACATAGGAGAGGTCCAACATAGGAAATACTAAACATAGGAGAGGCTAAACATAGAAGAGATTAAACATAGGAGAGACTAAACATGGGGGAGATTAAACATCCGAGAGACTAAATAAGGGGAGAGATTAATCGAACAAGAAATTAAACGTGAGAGATAATAGACATGGGGAAAGATTGAACATGGGAGAGACTAAAAATGAGAGAAATAGATACGAGAGAGATTAAACGTCTGGAGAGATTAAAAATGAGAGAGATAAACATGGAACAGATTAAATGTGTAAGAGACAGACATGGGAGAGAAGGAGAAAACGAGCAGATGTCACCAACATGCATTTCACGTTGGGGTTTAAGGTCCAGGTAAACTTGGCATTTCTCATCAGTGGAACTCATAATCCGCAGACAGAACACCCAGGGTAAAGCCCATAGTGATACCATCCACAGTTCATGCATCAGGTAGCTTGCCTATGTATAGGCAATCCGGAATATCAAGTGCAATTTTATGCAGTAAATTATTTTCATCATCACACCAGTAATCCAGCCCATGCGTTTGAAATGATAGTATACATAATAACTATTTAGTCGAAAGAATTACTATGATGTGATGGACCGCCAGTAATAAATTTGTTTGAACTTTAAATCTTATGGCACTGATACAAATAATGGATTTGTTCCCATTTCCAGCCATAATATCGTCCATGTTGTTAACAACATTACCAATTCCTGCTTCCGGATAGCTAACCCTAAACCTGTTCCCCCTCTCTCTGGCACAAAAAGTTCTATCCAGGTACCTAACCAGATATCCAACAACCCAAATTTGCTTAGGTACTTCCTTTACTTCGTGAGCACCTTGAGGGCTCTGCGCGAAGGTGGGATCCCTTGATTGTTTCAAACGTGGGTTGGACATGTATATGATTGGGATTGGGAGGTTGTAAATAGGAGCTGCCTCATATAGGCCAGTAGGAATTTTGCAATTGCCTTTATTCTTATGTTTTAGTCCGGAAAAAATAAAGCGAAAAACAAAACTCTAATAGTCCAAATTGTAATAGCTTAGTATAATATATTATATATATATATATATATATATATATATATATATATATATATATATATATATATATATATATATATATATATATATATATATATATATTATACAACCAACCACAATAAACGTGGATAATAACCTTATATTCACCTAGGCCATCGGAGCCTCTCACTACTGACCGCCACAGCTGTCGCCAGTAGCTGGTTTGTTGTGTGAACACAATAAAGCAATAAAGAAGGATTTCAAAGGTTCACAACTGGTATCCAACTAAGAACTTTAGGCCTCCACCTGGTGTGCCACTTTAACTTGAATGCATTACGTGATCCACACCTCAGTCATGTAAATTGCTAACCACAATGAACTTGGATAATGACATTTTATTCACCAAGAAGTATTCATCTAGATGTTTTTTCAGGGAAGAGCTTCTAAGCCCCGATTTTTGAGCTATTAAATGCTCTTTGTTACGAACCATCCGTAACCGGGTTCTTTTTAAATTAAGATCCTGCTCAAGTTCAGAGGACTCTAACCTTGGTGGAAATATAGTGTAATATTTATGGTAAATAAAAATAATAGCACTTGAAATAACCCGTTATTATTACCCTTCACCATTAATATTTACAATTCTATGTGAGGTTATCCAGAGCGGCGTTACTTGCCCTCACGCTAGCCAGCGTCACGGATGACGGGCACTATATATGCCTCTGACGAGGTTTTAAACGCGCCACTAGCCCTTACGCTAGATGCAATTATGGAGACGTCTTCAAACGCTTCCCCTCCTTAGCATGCTCGCTAGTACGCTCAACCAGCAAAGTCCACAGCGCTCAACTAGCCCACTTGGCTAGCTAGCACCTTCAGGTCGACCGAAGAACATTTCCACTGTTGGTCGCCACCGTCCAACACAGCAGACTAGAAGATGGGAAACTAAGATTAATGGGAGGGTCAACTCTAATAGTTCGGCACCTGGATCGTAGATGGCGCGACGTCAGTCACACACTTTTCTTTCAAAAAACGTTACATATGCGTTTGAAGCTCTGTTGCCACGGTATCTTCATCTAATCCGTTAAAGTTATTTAGAATTTTTGCGCAATAAGAAATCTTTCTGACGTTAATATAACTCATTAGTGTTTACAATTTCCATCTATGCTTCCTCTTTCCTGTATTACCCATTATGAACCTTGCTTCTTTGTTCACTTTGACAAAGTGGACAAACTCTTAAAACCTTATCTAGAGTTATCATATGTCCCCTATTTCCTCCTGTCCTCGTGAGTAGTGAGGTTTAGTTCTCTGATTCGTTTGCTGTTGTTCATTCCTCTCAATTCCGGGACCAGCCTTCTTGACTGTCTCCACTTTCTCCAGTTTTAATTTATGTTTGATTAAGGGGGGTTCCATTCTGAGGCTGTAAGCTTGAGGGTGGATCTTCTCTGTGTTTTGTACAAGTCTTGTGGCTATTCGAATAACTTTCATTTTTGTTTCTGTTCAGACGTTATTATGCTTTTGTGCTCCTCCAACATCGGAGTGGAATTATGTGGACCTGCAAATCTTTATCTTTCTTTAAGGTCTTCTTGATCATACTCCTAGTTTCATAACTTTGCAGGACTTTCAATTTCTTACATGGTAATTGATTGATTGTTTATAAGTGTGTCAAGTCTTAGGAGATGTGGAGGTATATGTGGTCTCTGTTTCTCTGAGAGTGACTTTCAGAATCTTGCATCTCTCTGCAATGTAAAAAAAAATCAATATATATATTTTTGTTCCACCAGAATTGAGTGATTTATATTTTTAGACAATCTCGATTGGATTAATTTTTATTTTCAAATTTTATTGAGACAGTGTTTATTTACTACGTGTGCCTGCAGGATCGAGCTGTTAGCTCTAGAACTCCGCCTTTCTAACCATCAGTTACCTAATGTACTGACTTCCGACCTATTTTTCTTCAATCATATCTGCTACTAGATTTCTCTCTCATACACATCTCCAGCATGCAGCCCGTAACAGCTGTCTAACTTGCAGGTATCTATTTAATGCTAGGTGAATAGGATCATCAGGTGAAAGAAACGGTCATTTGTTTCTGCCTCGAGCCCTTAGGACTACGACCCCTGTATTAGAACAACTGCAGACGATTATTTTTGTTGGTATTCACCCTGTTTGATGTATTATAATGAATATATTGTATCTAATTAAGGTTTATGTAAAATGTTACTTAAGTACACTTAGGTGAGTACAACCTGGATAGCCATAGCTAGTACAACTAAAGGAATATAATTAGACGAATATATCTATGCTGGTACACCTATGCTAGTACAGCTTTGCTAGTACAACTAGACGAGTACAACTATGCTAGTAAAATTAGTTTAGTACAGCTATACTTGTTCAGCTATGCTAGCACAACTAGGTACACGGTTACAGATAAACTCTCACCCCTGATCTCGTCTACACAGCGCCAGCTACACCAGTAAAATCTCATCAAGACACATTTCAACACAATGTTTTTGCTCGCCCAACTTTCACTAGCGGTGACAGCTTGGCACAGAGTGTCTCGACGGTCGTGGCCCTCTGGAGCACAAAACAAATGGCTTTCATTGTGCCTATAACTGTGAACCTTTATATAAGCCTCACAGCCCCACGCTCCTCACTCAGTCTGTCATCGACCGCACAGTCAACACTTGATCATGGTTTGTCTTATACTTAATGTAAAATATCCGAGAGGCTTTTATGGTTTACATAAACTGCTTTGGTATTAAGTGCAAGTGTAGGGACGCACGTACTAGGAGGTACGCACTTGTATCCATTACACAAGTGGAATTCCCACCTCTTTAGGGCTCTGAGTATGGTGTAGTGGATACAAATGCATACCTGCCATTAAGTTCACAGATAAGTCTTTTGTATTAAGTTTTTTTTTTAATAATTGTTGTATGAATTTTTATTGTCTGAAATTCGGAACGACATTGGCCAATATATTATTGTCATTTTTTTAGTTATTTCTACACGAAGCGGACATTTACCTTGGAACTCTAAATAGTTCAGATATGTTGACGGAAGTTTACCCTAACACCGAGGGACGCGAGGTTTTCCTTGTTTTTATTTAAGAGTTCGTGCACACGAGAGACTGTGATCATGCTGATGATTGCGAAAATGTAAACACAAGCCGAATTTTGCAGTCATCCATGGACAGAAACACACCATAATAAGTTTGCTAAAATTTATTAGTTATAGTTTAAAAATTAACCCAGGATTATTTATGACCAATTTATTACTGTCAAACTTGTCGGATCAATTGAGTGAATAAGTTAATGTGCTTTTCATTCATCTACATGAGGAAAAATGAGTCTCCCTGGAAACACAAACCGTAACTGTCACTATTTTCCGCTTGTTACAACATGTAATAAAGTTGTTACATCTTGGCTTAACGTGTTTATGACGTATTAGAACGTTGTTACAACTTGCTATATTGGTTGTTATAACTGGTTAGGTGTTAAAACTTGTTCGAACGTTGTACCAACGTCGTAGTTTCGGTGTGTGTTTGGCGGCCTGTAACTATATCGCACTCAGAGGCCAACTTACTAATGTTCAAATTTAACTCTCCTGATTTGTCTTCTATATTCATATCTACTTTACTTGATATTGTCCTGTAAGATTCTAATTTATATATTTTGCGGTTTGCGGTTTTTATGCCATAGACGAAAGAGATTAAAAAACAACTCTGGATGCTTTAGTAGCGCCTCAGGGAAGGCTTAAAATCTCAGTTAGGTACCGGTTAGAGATCCTCCTCATTTCGTACACTCATGGTCTGCTTGGTAAAATGCCGAAGTTGTCTTTCTTGACCTTCGTTCGAGTGTCTGATTGAATGTCATTTCTCAAGCTGTTGTCGTTTGCTATATATAAATATATATATATATATATATATATATATATATATATATATATATATATATATATATATATATATATATATATATATATATATATATATATATATATTGGTGTATACTGGCAGCAGGTTTTCTTTCAAACATGTTTCATTGAATATGACCGCATATTCTGTATTTATTATTTTCTGGTTTAGGGCTTCTATCCCTCTAACTATTTTCTTAGCATCAGGGCTTAATTGAAATAGGAGTTCTCCAAAACTCATTTTCGTACTTTTAAGGTGAAGAAAAGAAGTGATTTACTATAGAGTGTATTACACTTATTTGTATAATTTGCACGACGTTTCGAACCTCCATGGTTCATTCTCAAGTGAACAGATCTTTACAATACTAGTTGAGAACTAGTATTAGTCAACTAGTATTGTAAAGATCTGTTCACTTGAGAATGAACCATGGAGGTTCGAAACGTCGTGCAAATTATACAAATAAGTGTAATACACTCTATAGTAAATCACTTCTTTTCTTCACCTTAAAAGTACGAAAATGAGTTTTGGAGAACTCCTATTTCAATTAAGCCCTGATGCTAAGAAAATAGTTAGAGGGATAGAAGCCCTAAACCAGAAAATAATAAATACAGAATATGCGGTCATATTCAATGAAACATATATATATATATATATATATATATATATATATATATATATATATATATATAATATATATATATATATATATATATATATATATATATATATATATATATATATATATATATATATATATATATATATACAATGTTATTTACATTTATATTTATATTTACTTTTCAGAGGGTGTTCCTGGCACTGTTCGGCGTGGTTCTCCTCCTATCCTTCAGTCAGGCACAAAGTAATTACGGCGGTGGACACGGAGGAGGAGGAGGAGGAGGAGGAGGAGGAGGAGGACACGGTGGAGGGTTCGGAGGTGGACACGGAGGAGGAGGAGGAGGAGGACACGGAGGAGGCTACGGAGTTAGTGGTGAATCCAGCAATAACTACAACCTTGGTGGTCCACAAGGTGGTGACGGGGGCGGCCACGGTGGAGATGGCGGGGGCGGCTATGGAGGACAAGGCGGTGGCGGCCACGGTGGGGGCGGCTTCGGAGGACAAGGCGGTGGCGGCCACGGTGGAGATGGCGGGGGCGGCTATGGAGGACAAGGCGGGGGCGGCCACGGTGGGGGCGGCTATGGAAAATAAGTGTTTAATGCTCAGCCATAAAAGTCTGGGGAATAAACAAGGTGATTCTGGCTGTTGCAGAAGTCCCGAAGATTCGCATGTGTTGTTGCGTTGTGTGTTGTATGTTGTCGAGTGTGTTCTAAATTAAATATTGTATTTTATAGAACATTTGTTTACTCTCCTTAAAAAATACATCTGTAAAAGGCCATGCATTAATTTCTTTCATGAGAGAAAACAGGTCAATTATCATTCTATTTTATGACAGAAAACAGGTCATCCATCATTTTATTTCATGACAGAAAACAGGCCATTCATCATTTTCTTTCATGACAAAAAACAAGCCATTCACCATTTTCTTTCATAGCAAACTACAAGCTTATCACTATTTTCTTTCATATCACACAATGCGTCATTCACCATTTTCTTTCAAATCACTAATTAGGCCACACAATTACATTGTTCAGGCATTTTATCCAGCCCACATTACGTTTAAACTGAATGGAAAGAAACGTCTTAGAATAGGGAGGTGAGTTTAAGTCTCTTAAGGCCGAGTAATGTGATAAATTACGAAGTAGCTGAGTGTTGGATGGGTGTAGGGAGGGGTGTGGGAACAGGGTGTTGGGTGGGGTACTGGAGCCGGGTGTAGGAGCTGGGTGTTGGGGAGGGGGATATAGCAACCAGGTGTAGGAGCCGGGTATAGGGTGGGGTGTAGGAGCTTGATGTTGGATGGGGTGTAGGAACTGAGTGTTGGTTGAAGTGACTTAAGGCCAACCAACCTCCGACAGATAATTTACGCAACCACAAAAGCTTACTGCCCAACCAGCAACAAAACATTTCTTAACATAGTTCAAGACTAAAGTAGACTTAGAGCAAAAAGATATTCTACATTTTCAGTCACTATAACTTGAAGAAAAGAAGCTAATAAAAACATCCAGAGTACATACGAAACTTATTCTCATAACAACAATAAAACTTATTATTTTCTCAAAATAAAGTAATAAAGCTTACAATGTATGAGACAATATTACCAACAGTTGCTGACGCTTACAATGTTAAATTGGCAAAAAATGTTTATTTTTGTCTCAACTCACCCCAATGAAAATTAACTTCTCTATGACCTCGCTTAGAGGCAAATTATTCAGTAGAGAGATATCAATAATACAGTAAATGATAAAACAACCTATGTGATGTAATTAATTGCAGCATTCAACAATAAATAACTTGAGGGCCAAAAATTCCAGGCATCGTTAGAACAAATATATATATAACCCCCAGTCCACAATGGTAGCAAATCCAGATACAAAAATCTACTCACCAATACAAAATCCCTCAGTATTGTTTAACTCAAATAAAAAAAAGTGTACAATCAATTATATATTGCAAAAAGTAAAACAAAAATAAAATTTCAAGGAATTTGGTTTCAGATCACAAAATCGGATCAAAATCATATTTTATTAACATAAATGATGTGCGCAGTACTTAAAAGAAACGAATACCAGATTAGTTTCTTTATTAGTTTACATAAAACGTTTGCTGATGAAGCTCGGAATTGCCAGTACTTAAACGTACAGTACTGGGAGACCTGTACTTAAGTACGTAAATGTACAGACCAGGGGGCCTAGTGAGAGACCGGGCCGCGGGGACCTTGACCCCCAGAATCAACGCAAGGTAACCTCAGGGTAAGGTACAGTGGTGTTATGGGCCCTGATCTGCATCCAATCTTACCCAGAGAAGAGACCCTAATATATTTCCATCAATGACTCGTTAACATCGTTTGGTGTTGGGCTTAAGCCCTATTTAGGTGTTGGTCACACCATAATCTCCAACATAAAGATTACGTCGTGGCAGAAGTGGACCACAAGTAACGAACAGCGGAAGAGAGATCTTTAGGAATAGAAAAAACATGTACTGGAATGATATTGTTTTGAATCACATCATTAAAAAGGATCATTTTGAGGAGGATTATCATATTATCAATAACCTGTTCGGCATCTGGCAGGTGCATTATATTGGACAGCCAGTGAGGAGACGGGAAACAGTGAGCGTTGCTGAAGTGTGAACCTCAACCCATACAATAACTTATGTTATACACACAAAAATCACAATAGTGTGATGCATTAATGAACCAATCCACAAGGGCCGTGAAGAGGATGTAAAACGATGTAATCCTCGTTACGGCCCTTGTGGATTTGTTCTTTAATAACTTATGTTTATTGCATGATTGGAGTGGAGGTGACTTGACGTGTGCTAATCAGACAAGCACAGAGGACGCCCTCCAATCGAAGGTCGTTGCGATAGGTAGTTGGCCAGCAGATGTTAATACGTTTGTTTGTGCAAAGTAGGGCCAGGCTGGCCCGTCAACTCTGCAACAGAAGAAATATCTTCACAAAAGCAAAACTGGCCCGAACCCGATACAGACCCTACCCGAGATACAGGACCGAATTTGCTAAGCATGGTTTAGGTTAGGCCGTGACCCCTTGTGTTTCAATGACCAGGTACCCAGACGGAAGTGATGGGATTAATGGAGTAGTCGAACTTATTAATAATGTTGGCCATTTTGAACAGCTCAATGGACAGAAATGGAAACAACAAAAACTGAAGTGAGGTGAAGTTAAAAGAGCATAATCTATTACAAATATCTTCGCACCGATGACCGAAAGGAAAGCAAAACCTGCTGGAAGAAACACTCGACTAGCTGCCTGGGGTTATACTACATATAATCACTCGACCATACATTAGCATCCTGGAGACAGAACTAACAATCACTCGACCACTTACTAGCAGTCTGCGGCTATACAACAAACAATCACATGTCTATTGTTTCTCAATATAAGCCATCTGCTCTCAAAATCTTTATCGACAATGTAAATCTGATTTATAACAATTCCTATAAGACACAATTTTTATCCACTTATTTAGGTAGATTAATGTATATTATTATCTTGGATGTGCAACAGCAGCAGTAAAATCCTCCTAAACCCATCCTGTGAGTGGAAGTGGAAAGGTTACAGAGGGACATAGTGGGCTTAGAAAATGAACCACAAGGTTTAGTTCAACTTAGCTAACTTAGTTTAGCTAATTTAATACAGTCTGAGTTACTGTGGCTAAGTTACAGTCACAGTTTGTCAAACTAACATCACTGTCACGTTAACAAATCCAGTGAGAGGAGAAGGGAGGGCAATCATGGGAAAGCGCCAAGTCATTACAACTATATAGTACTTGGAGGGGGGTGAGGATAAGGATTTGGGATGGGACGGTAGGGGGGAGGTGGAGGAATGGTACCCAACCTCTTGGACGGTCGGGGATTGAACGCCGACTTGCATGCAGCAAGACCGTCGATTTACTATCCAACCCAAGTGGTTGGGCAAAATCCAGTGGAAGTTTTAAATAGTTTAGGTTATCATGAACCCCATTTTTATGTTTCATCTGATATAGCTACGATGCAGGCAATAAGTCACAATAGCGTAGTTGAACTAAACCCATGACTGCAACGATCATATGGAACTAGAAAACAATACCACAGTTTAATGATTATCTGTAGTGACTTAAGTCCAAGTGAGTTGACTTAAGTCCTAGTGGGTTGACTTAAGTCCTAGTGGGTTGACGTTAGTCCTAGTGGGTTTACTTTCTCGTTGGCATAGTCATTCCATATAATTTATCCGTTTTCTATAATGCTTTAGCCTTCTCAGTAGAAGAGAATCGTCTTAGGTAGACATGATCTGTTTTATTTTGATATTTTTTCACAAGTTTTTTTATCATTCATGTTTTTAAATGTAAAGTAAATTGTATATATGTATTGTATTTCTTCTGAAATAACTCTCATTGAAATTTAGATTATGCACTATTAGTGAAATATTTGATAAAAAATACCTTGTCGCTTTTTTTTAAATAAACAATGGATAACTACACCAATATTATGTATAATAATAATAATTTATAATAATTCATTGCATCGGGGGACAGGCAGCCGGAATGTATTCATATACGTTAGGATCATATTGAGGTCCCCCCCCCTTGCTCTCCAGGGTCAACTTACTGACCCCGTCCAGAATGCAACCCCACAACAAGTTGACTAACACTTACTTACTGCTAGGTGAACAGCTGCATTAGGTGATCGGAAAATGCGCCCAACCATTTCTGTCTCGCCCGGAATTCGAACCTGGAATTCTCGATTCTGAGTCGAAAACAAACCCGACTGCACTACCGGAACCCATTTGTAAAGCTAAGCGTTATATACACAGATAAGTGTACCCGACGGTATACTAATACACTGAGTGTGTTACACTTGTTGTGTATGCAGTGACAATTTGCAAAAAAAGTTTTGCTATGTTCGGAAATAAAGTACACTAGTTGGTGAAGAAGAGAAGTCTCAATATCGGGGCTGAAGATATGATCACTAAACCACACCTCAGAAGATGAATTGTGTACAACTGAAGTGTTTGTGTACTTTTGTATAACGTTTTCGAGTACACCGAACTTGTCTATGCACACATTACATGCACTTAGTTAAACCCTTCATGTTGTTCTTGAAGATGTGTGAGATCAATTTAACACAACCTCTTGGAATTAGAAGTTGAATAAATTAAGTAGACCCGAAGTCCTTAGTGTGGTTGTTGTAGAATACTAATAAAACTCGCATGAGATAATAACAACAAATGTTTATTTGAGTAACAAAACAATTATAAAAAAAACAATCGATAGAACACATAACATAGTTAAGTAATCATGGCACAAAGAAAGATATAAATGACTTTGTGTATTAAAACATTATCTATGTGTAAACTGTTTAAAGAGAGGACAAAAAATGTGAGATTATATCACACACACACACATTATATATATATATATATATATATATATATATATATATATATATATATATATATATATATATATATCTGCAACATTTGGCTGACATAACTGGCACGTCAAACGAAAGTCATAATGTAACGTTGAAAATTACAATTAGAGTATACGCACATTCAATACTCTCAATATCAATGTGTTCAGATAAGCCCATACAATTTAATTTAGCGTCCTTGCTCTGTAGTGTTAAGGATGATGCGTGTGTTTACTAACATACCCGTTTCTTAGTCTATGTCCCTCATTGATTTGCTTGCCAAATCAATCACAAAACCCAGACATAGATATGTACTTGCTATATCAATCAAGTATACGTATATGCTTGGTTTATCATTCACCATACCCATCATAGATACATGCTTGGTATATCAATCACCGTAGCCAGACATAGTCATTTGTTCGTTTAACTTGTCATTGTCATGACCATATCCAGAGTAATGGTCATACCCTTGTCCCTTGGCAATGTTTTTTTCATATCCATATTCCTGGTAGTTACTGCCGTGTGCCATGCTGGTGACAGGTCTATGTTGGCTACTGTAGCGGTCAGCATGGTCTAAACTGCTGGTGCTTCCATGTCCATGTTGCTGGCCATATCCATCACCATGCTTTAAACTGCTGCTTCCATGTACATTTCCATTGTTATATCCACCAGTATGTCCAAAACTGCTGATACCATGTCCATATTCCTTGCCATATACATCACCATACCCTAGACTACTGCTACCATATCCATGTCCCTTGTCATTTCCACCAGTATGGCCTAAACTGCTGCTGCTACCATGTCCCTGTTGCTTGCCATATCCATGGGCATGTCCTGAACTGCTGCTACTATGTCCACCACCTTGCTCTAAATTGCTACCGTGCCCGTAGCCTGTACTATAGCTAGAACTACCACCTCCATGCCCATGTTCGTGATTATAGGCACCACCATGTCCATAATCGTTACTGTAACCTCCACCGTGTCCTATACTCCCACTATAACTCTTTCCTTTGCTATAGCTGTTTCTATATCCATAATTACCACCATTCCCATGTCCATACTTATAGGGAGAAGGAATTCCTTTCCAATATCCCCCACAGCTATACGTATGCATATATCCAATGCTTTTTATAGGACTCTTACCTTGGCTGATGCCATAGACATTATATATATCGCTATGCAAGTTGCCATTAGAATGTCCTGTGAAAAAACTACCACTACACCCTCCCTTGCCATAGTTGAAATGATTGTTAACGCTCGTTCTGCCATAGATATCGTCGCGACTGCTGTGTTGTCCTTTGTCATGGCTACCCTCCTGCCCAAAATTGTAAATATTATCATGGGTTTTGCCATAACTGTTGCCATATCCACTACTTTGGCTCCCACTATGTTCCTTGCCATATTCGCCGGCAAGTACCACACGGTACGCTGAAAGGTAGTCAGTGTCCGAGCCACTAGAGTAATCTTGAGTTTCCATTCCTGCGTGACCTCTTCCGCCCGACGTCCTGTAGTCGTCTCCCTTAGCGGGAAGTTCCCCGTAGCCTGTGACACGCCCATGTCCGCGGTGGTGACCATATCCGTCGGTAGCTGCGTGTCCTCCAGGATTGTAAGCATCACCAAGTGCAGAGTAGCTGCTATATGCGTGTCCCTCGGTCTCTTTTCCAGCTTTACTGACATCATAATTGCGGCCGTGTCCTGACCCGTGTCTGGTATAGTGACCATGGTGTCCGTGTTCGAGCAGCCGTGTCCCATGTCCACCGTCATGTTCCGCTCGCCCGGAGCGACTCAGGGACACAGTTGTCCATACCAGTATGAGGGCAACTCTCTGCAAACACTTTGAGGATTAATATTTTTGTTCATACGAGTCATTAACAAGGAATTAAAATATATATATCAAGATGTCATCAAGGAATTACAACTCAATACTATTGATGGAGAGCCATGCCAGTGTCATTTTTATATTATTAATGCCTTTACAAAATAATTAACATTTGCAGGTTAATAAACATTTCAGATTAATAAACATAACAAGTTAAAAAAAACTTTGCAAGGTATTACACATCATCACCAGGTCCCCATGAACATTCCTAAATCATAAGAAATTGTTCCAAACTACTTGAGTAACTACAAGTTATTACAAATTATCGCTGGTATTAAAAGATATGGCAAAATATTCCACAAGATGACAAACATCGCATGCAGTCACAAGTGTTCAGGGACAACTATTAGTAACGAAGGATCTGTACAACTCACTAATTGAGACACGAAGGAAAGGATGAAGTCGAAGAGAGGCTAAGGTCTTAGGGAAGCTTATAAGGCTGAACACAATTTTAAAGTTTTTTTCCAGTTATATCATCAAGCGATAGTCCGGAAAAAGACTGGGTAATTGAGATCAGATGTACTGTGTCGTGATTCACACATAAGTTATAGAAAGTGACTAACATTCCAATTTCATTTTTTTCATATCAGCATCAATGAAAAAACTAGAAATTGCATCCAGGCTCTGTAAACAAAGAAAGCATTACATGTTGTATACAGGCCCTGTAAACAAAGAAAGCATTACATGTTGTATACAGGCTCTGTAAACAAAGAAAGCATTACATGTTGTATACAGGCTCTGTAAACAAAGAAAGCATTACAAGTTGTATACAAGCTCTGTAAACAAAGAAAGCATTACATGTTGTATACAGGCCCTGTAAACAAAGAAAGCATTACATGTTGTATACAGGCCCTGTAAACAAAGAAAGCATTACATGTTGTATACAGGCCCTGTAAACAAAGAAAGCATTACATGTTGTATACAGGTAAACAAAGAAAGCATTACATGTTGTATACAGGCCATTACATGTTGTATACAGGCAAAGAAAGCATTACATGTTGTATACAGGCTCTGTAAACAAAGAAAGCATTACATGTTGTATACAGGCCCTGTAAACAAAGAAAGCATTACATGTTGTATACAGGCTCTGTAAACAAAGAAAGCATTACATGTTGTATACAGGCCCTGTAAACAAAGAAAGCATTACATGTTGTATACAGGCCCTGTAAACAAAGAAAGCATTACATGTTGTATACAGGCCCTGTAAACAAAGAAAGCATTACATGTTGTATACAGGCCCTGTAAACAAAGAAAGCATTACATGTTGTATACAGGCTCTGTAAACAAAGAAAGCATTACATGTTGTATACAGGCCCTGTAAACAAAGAAAGCATTACATGTTGTATACAGGCTCTGTAAACAAAGAAAGCATTACATGTTGTATACAGGCCCTGTAAACAAAGAAAGCATTACATGTTGTATACAGGCCCTGTAAAAAGAGAAAGTGCTGCAAGCTAGTCAAGTAGCTGTAAGTCCTGAAAGTTCAGACAGTTAAATAAAAACACAAAACAAAACAGTCCTTCGGACCCTGATGTGATTCTTATTTGGATTAAGAACACAATATATATAATTCTCAAGTAAAGTTTTCCCATCACCGTGAAGGGTAACTTACGTATTCTTGTATAAGAGGCCACAGATCTCTTTCTCTGTTATTAATCGGGTTATCATTAATAGGGAACTTTCTTGAAGGAATAATTTTAAAATCAATTAGTAATCACCTGGAAAAAATGCAACTTAGGAGATGATTAACATAATGCTTTAACATAGTCGGGACAGGAAGCCTGTTAGATTTATCGAGGATCCTTCTGCCAATTTACTGCTAGGAAAACAGGAGCATCAGGTGAAACTAAAAATGTACAAACACAAACGCCTCCTGCTCCCTACACCTATCTTCTTTATATTACATTTGCTTGGGTTAAACTCTAAAAACCATTTGTTCGACCATTCCTTCAGTTTATTTAGGTCTTCTTGAAGCCTCAAGGAGTCCTCCTCTGTCTTAATCCTCATAATTTTGGCATCGCCAGCAAACATTAAGAGGAATGAGTCTATACCCTCTGGGAGATCGTTTACGTATATCAGAAACAGGATAGGACCGAGTACAGAGCCTTATGGGACTCCACTGGTGACCACGACAATCTGAGGTCTCACCCCTCACTGTAACTCTCTGCTTCCTGTTGCTTAGGTATTCCCTTATCCACTGGAGCACTTTACTAGTTACTCCTGCCTGTCTCTCCAGCAGATAGTCCGAAAAAATGCAGTCCGCCCAGCCTTCTCCTTCTTGCTTAATCTTTGTCACCTGGTCGTAGAAGTCTATTAAGCCTGTAAGGCAAGATTTACCCTCCCTGAACCCATGTTGGCGATTAGTCACGAAGTCCCTTCTCTCCAGATGTGTTACTAGGTTTTTTCCTCACGATCTTCTCCATCATCTTGCATGATCTACAAGCTAAGGACACTGCCCTGTAGTTCAGTGTGTGTGTGTACTCACCTATTTGTACTCACCTATTTGTGCTTGCGGGGGTTGAGCTTTGGCTCTTTGGTCCCGCCACTCAACTGCTAATCAACTGGAGTACAGATTCCCGAGCCTACTGGGCGCTGTCATATCTACATTAGAAACTGTGTATGGAGTCAGCCTCCACCACATCACTGCCTAATGCATTCCATCTGTTAACTACTCTGACACTGAAAATGTTCTTTCTAACGTCCTTCCGTCTCATTTAGGTACTCAGTTTCCACCTGTGTCCCCTTGTTCGCGTACCACCAGTGTTAAATAGTTTATCCTTGTCTACCCGGTCGATTCTCCTGAGGATTTTGTAGGTAGTGATCATGTCTCCCCTTAATCTTCTTTCTTCCAGTGTCGTAAGGTGCATTTCCCGCAGCCTTTCCTCGTAACTCGTGCCTCTTAGTTCTGGGACTAGTCTAGTGACATCCCTTTGAACTTTTTCCTGCTTCGTCTTGTGCTTCACAAGGTACGGGCTCCATGCTGGGGCCGCATACTCCAGGATTGGTCTTACATATGTGGTATACAAGATTCTGAATGATTCCTTACACAGGCTCCTGAAGGCTGTTCTAATGTTAGCCAGCCTCGCATATGCCACAGACGTAATTCTTTTTATGTGGTCTTCAGGAAACAGGTTTGGTGTGATATCAACTCCTAGATCTTTCTCTCTTTCCGTTTCATTAAGTACTTCATCTCCTATTCTGTATCCTGTGTCTGGCCTCCTGTTTCCACCGCCTAGTTTCATTACTTTGCATTTACTGTACTCGGATTGAACTTTAACAGCCATTTGTTGGACCATTCACTCACTCAGTCTTTCTAGGTCGTCTTGTAGCCTCCTACTGTCATCCTGTTTCAATCCTCCTTATAATTTTTGCATCATCGACAAACATTGAGAAAAACGAGTCTACACCCTCTGGGAGATCATTTACATATATCAGAAACAGTATAGATCCAAGGACTGACCCCTGCGGGACTCCACTTTTAACGTCTCGCCAATCTGAGACCTCACCCCTCACACAGACTCGTTGTCTCCTGTTGCTTAGGTACTCCTTTATCCAATGGAGTACCTTCCCTTTCACACACTCTGTGTGTGTACTCACCTAATTGTACTCACCTAATTGTGCTTGCGGGGGTTGAGCTCTGGCTCTTTGGTCCCGCCTCTCAACCGTCAATCAACTGGTGTACAGATTCCTGAGCCTATTGGGCTCTATCATATCTACATTTGAAACTGTGTATGGAGTCAGCCTCCACCACATCACTTCCTAATGCATTCCATTTACTAACTACTCTGACACTGAAAAAGTTCTTTCTAACGTCTCTGTGGCTCATTTGGGTACTCAGCTTCCACCTGTGTCCCCTTGTTCGCGTCCCACCAGTGTTGAATAGTTCATCCTTGTTTACCCGGTCGATTCCCCTGAGGATTTTGTAGGTTGTGATCATGTCCCCCCTTACTCTTCTGTCTTCCAGTGCCGTGAGGTGCATTTCCCGCAGCCTTTCCTCATAACTCATGCCTCTTAGTTCAGGGACTAGTCTAGTAGCATACCTTTGGACTTTTTCCAGCTTCGTCTTGTGCTTGACAAGGTACGGGCTCCATGCTGGGGCCGCATACTCCAGGATTGGTCTTACATATGTGGTGTACAAGATTCTGAATGATTCCTTACACAGGTTCCTGAACGCCGTTCTGATGTTAGCCAGCCTCGCATATGCCGCAGACGTTATTCTCTTTATGTGGGCTTCAGGAGACAGGTTTGGTGTGATATCAACTCCTAGATTTTTCTCTCTGTCTGTTTCATTAAGTACTTCATCTCCTATTCTGTATCCTGTGCCTGGCCTCCTGTTTCCACTTCCTAGTTTCATTACTTTGCATTTACTCGGGTTGAACTTCAACAGCCATTTGTTGGACCATTCACTCAGTCTATCCAGGTCATCTTGTAGCCTCCTACTATCATCCTCTGTTTCAATCCTCCTCATAATTTTTGCATCGTCGGCAAACATTGAGAGGAACGAATCTATACCCTCTGGGAGATCATTTACATATACCAGAAACAGTATAGGTCCAAGGACTGACCCCTGCGGGACTCCACTTGTGACGTCTCGCCAATCTGAGACCTCACCCCTCACACAGACTCAAGTGTGTGTGTGTGTGTGTGTGTGTGTGTGTGTGTGTGTGTGTGTGTGTGTGTGTGTGTGTGTGTGTGTGTGTGTGTGTGTGTGTGTGTGTGTGTGTGTGTGTGTGTGTGTGTGTGTGTGGGTGTAGAGAGAGAGGTGTTACTTTGCTAAACAATACCACTGAATAACGTGAAGTGACTAATCATGTAGAGTTCAGCTGCACCAACCCGGCCACAATGTTTTTAATGAAAGTGAAGTCAGAAAAAATACACGAAAAGATTTATAAATAAAAAAAAAATGCTTTCCCGAAGAAATTGTGAAAGTAACTTATTTTTTCCAACAATGTTTTTACATTAACGAGACAAATAATTTTGACTTCCATGTTTTTAATTAAATTAATATTTATTTAAATATCAAGAACACGAATCTGCTGCTTAATTAATATATAACTTTATTCATTCTTTCGGAATGTTCTGTTAAAAAACTTGCTGAATATTGTGTGATAAATGAGTAAATGTTATTAAGAGATAACATTTTATGTTATCATATATCTCTGTATGTTTGGTAGAAGATTTACTGTGTGTTGTTTTTCTTTTTTGTACAGAATAAAACACTTCTTAAAACAGGAAATATACCATAAATTGTCTATGTATGTATTAACACGATGTTCTGAATGGGGTGAGAATAGCTTGAGCTACCTCATCCCTTTGTGTGTATTTTACCCCAATAAACTTATTTAAATTTCAATTTCAATTTCAGTACCATAAATTCTCTCTAACCACGTCTCTGGTGAATTTAGAACACATAATTTCCAAGGTGAAGTCTAAGTCTAATTTCCAAGTAATTTCTAAGTCTGTTGAATTGATGATAGCTTAAACGACAGCTCTCGGTACACAAAGATTAAATATTTGGAAAACTTAATGTATTGGCTTTGTTAAAGGGTTCATAATTTACCTTTCCTGTACACACATTCAGTGCATTTAGTAAACTATTTTGCACAAATAAACTCGTCTTGCTTCTATGAAATGAAATCAAAGTGATGATGTTTCGGTCTGCTCTGAACCCCTTGTTATATGTTATTGTATCTGCAGTATATTGTTTAATTTCAATACATATCATTTGGTTCAATTCCAAATGATAAGTTTGGAATTGAACTCAATTTTCAATATAATTTAATCATGTTATAATGTCATTACGTATTCGCCAGTAATATTCTAACACAAGTGATGAGTTAGATGTTCACTCTCCTCGTTCGCCAACGGTTCATGCACATCTGACTGTACACTCTCAACTGTGCACGCACAACTGTGCACGCACAATTGTGCACGCGCGTGTCCTTATCATATGTATGATAACATACAGTTGGCTCTCTCTCTTCTATGTTCTTTCGAACTCGTTCCATGCCCGTTCGAAATATGTTCACACCCGCTGTTCTATCACAAGATGTTCACACCTACTGTTCTCTCACAAGATGTTGACATCTGCTGTTCTCTCACAAGATGTTCACACTTGCTGTTCTCTCACAAGATGTTCACACCCGCTGTTCTCTCACAAGATGTTCACACTTGCTGTTCTCTCACAAGATGTTCACACTCGATGTTCTCTCACAAGATGTTCACCCCCGCTGTTCTCTCACAAGATGTTCACACTTGCTGTTCTCTCACAAGAGGTTCACACTTGCTGTTCTCTCACAAGATGTTCACACTTGCTGTTCTCTCACAAGATGTTCACCCCCGCTGTTCTCTCAAAATATGTTCACACTTGCTGTTCTCTCACAAGATGTTCACACCCGATGTTCTCTCACAAGATGTTCACCCCGCTGTTCTCTCACAATATGTTCACACCCGCTGTTCTCTCACAAGATGTTCACCCCCGCTGTTCTCTCACAAGATGTTCACCCCCGCTGTTCTCTCACAAGATGTTCACCCCCGCTGTTCTCTCACAAGATGTTCATACCCACTAACAGCACAACAATCTTACCATTTTTGTTCTGCGTTTCTGAGTCAACTTGTTCTTCAGTTCGTGACTATCTTCCCCCGCGTCTTGGCGGCTCCTGGCGGGGCCCGTCATCAGCTCTCTTATAAGAGGCGGCCGGTTGAGGTCCGCCCCAACGGCGCCTCTGAAGACGTCAGGTACTGGCAGTTTTGCGGCTGACTTTTGTCTCAGTTTGTCTCACTTTCTTGACTTTCTCAGCCTCCGTGCCTGCGTGCTTGTGGACCCGGATGACTGTCTTTGTTCCGGATTGTTGTTTTGCCTCAGTTGATCACTGTTTTTGCTTTCAGTGGGTGTGTGTACTCACCTAGTTGTGTCTGCAGGATCGAGCATTGACTCTTGGATCATGTGTGTGTGTGTGTGTGTGTGTGTGTGTGTGTGTGTGTGTGTGTGTGTGTGTGTGTGTGTGTGTGTGTGTGTGTGTGTGTGTGTGTACTCACATAATTGTGCTTGCGGGGGTTGAGCTCTGGCTCTTTGGTCCCGCCTCTCAACGGTCAATCAACAGGTGTACAGGTTCCTGAGCCTATTGGGCTCTATCATATCTACACTTGAAACTGTGTATGGAGTCAGCCTCCACCACATTGCTTCCTAATGCATTCCATTTGTCAACCACTCTGACACTAAAAAAGTTCTTTCTAATATCTCTGGCTCATTTGGGCACTCAGTATCCACCTGTGTCCCCTAATGCGTGTGCCCCTTGTGTTAAATAGCCCGTCTTTATCTACCCTGTCAATTCCTCTGAGAATCTTGTACGTGGTAATCATATCCCCCCTAACTCTTCTGTCTTCTAGCGACGTGAGGTTTAATTCCCGTAGTCTCTCCTCGTAGCTCATACCTCTCTGCCCGGGTACTAGTCTGGTGGCAAACCTTTGAACCTTTTCAAGTTTGGTCTTATGCTTGACTAGATATGGACTCCATGCTGGAGCTGCATACTCCAGGATTGGTCTGACATAGGTGGTATACAAAGTTCTGAATGATTCCTTGCACAAGTGTCTAAATGCCGTTCTTATGTTAGCTAACCTGGCATATGCTGCTGATGTTATCCTCTTGATATGGACTTCAGGGGACAGGTCTGGCGTGATATCAACCCCCAGGTCTTTCTCTCTCTCTGACTCGTGTAGAATTTCATCTCCCAAATGATACCTTGTAACTGGCCTCCTGCTCCCTACACCTATCTTCATTACATTACATTTGCTTGGGTTAAACTCTAACAAACATTTGTTCGACCATTCCTTTAGTTTGTCCAGGTCTTCTTGAAGCCTCAAGCAGTCCTCCTCTGTCTTAATCCTTCTCATAATTTTGGCATCGTCAGCAAACATTGAGAGGAATGAGTTTATACCCTCTGGGAGATCGTTCACGTATATCAGAAACAGTATAGGACCGAGTACAGAACCCTGAAAGACTCCACTGGGGACTTCACGCCGATCTGAGGTCTCTCCCCTCACTGTAACTCCTCTCTTCCTATTGCTTAGGTTTTCCCCTATCCACTGGAGCACTTTACCAGCTACACCTGCCTGTCTCTCCAGCTTATGTACCAGCTTCTTATGGGGGGGGACTGTATCAAAGGCTTTCCGACAGTCCAAAAAAATGCAGTCTGCCCAGCCTTCTTTTTCTTGCTTAATCTTTGTCACCTGATAGTAGAATTCTATTAAGCCAGTAAGGCAAGATTTACCCTCCCTGAACCCATGTTGGCGATTTGTCACGAAGTCCCTTCTCTCCAGATGTGTTACTAGATTTTTTCTCACGATTTTCTCCATCACTTTGCATGGTATACAAGTTAAGGACACTTGCCTGTAGTTCAGTGCCTCTTGTCTGTCACCCTTTTTGTATATTGGGACCACATTAGCCGCCTTCCATATTTCTGGTAGGTCTGCCGTCTCCAGTGACCTACTGTACACAATGGAGAGTGGCAAGCAGAGTGCCTCTGCACACTCTTTCAATACCCATGGTGAGATCCCGTCTGGACCAACAGCCTTTCTCACATCCAGATCCAACAGGTGTCTCTTGACCCCGTCTCTTGTAATTTCGAACCCTTCCAAGGCCGCCTGGTTTACTGCCCCCTCTCCTAACGCAGTGACCTCACTATGTTCTATTGTGAAGATATCCTGGAACCTCTTGTTGAGTTCCTCACACACCTCTTTGTCATTCTCTGTATACCTGTCCTCGCCTGTTCTAAGTTTCATTACCTGTTCTTTCACTGTTGTTTTCCTCCTGATATGACTGTGGAGTATCTTTGGATCGGTCTTGGCTTTGCTTGCTATTTAATTTTCATAATTTTTCTGTGTGTGTGAATGTGTATGTGTGTGTGTGTGTGTGTGTGTGTGTGTGTGTGTGTGTCTGTGTGTGTGTGTGTGTGTGTGTGTGTGTGTGTGTGTGTGTGTGTGTGTGTGTGTGTGTGTGTGTGTTTGTGTGTGTGTGTGTGTGTGTGTACTCACATACTTGTACTCACCAAGTTGTGCTTGCGTGGTTTGAGTTTCAGCTATTTGGTCACACCTCTCAACCGTCAATCAACAGGTGCACAGGTTTCTGAGCCTACTGGGCTCTATCATATCTCCACTTAAAACTGTGTATGGAGTCTGCCTCCACCACATCACATCCTAATGCTTTTATTTATTAACTACTCTGACACTATAAAAATCTTTCTAATGTTTTTATGGCTCATTTGGGCACTCAATTTCCCCCTCCCTGTGTGTGCAGCCTGTGTTAAATAAACTGTCTATATCTACTCTATAAATTTCTTTGAGGATCTTGTATGTGGTGATCATGTCTCCCCCTAACTCTCCTGTCTTTCATCGACGAGGCTCATCCCTGTGGCCCGTGTTCCTCGCAGTAAGTCAACAAATTCCTTTCGAGACTTCAGGCTGAAAACACAGGGTACATAAGGAGTCAGCAAGCCGTTGAGTTGCTTTGCCAGTCTGTACGTGGGTGTGGGTATCTGGCTGATGATGTAAATCTTTTACAAGTGCCCTTCACGACAGTAGTCTTTACCCTAGTTTGCAATTGTAAACTTTGCATCCTGCTTATGTGGACCTAGGTATTTAACGTAAGGTAGAGTAGTAAGGTGATTTATTGTAATTTGTGTATGGGGGATTATTAGAGGGTTTAATAAATAAGTTTAGAGATTTTGCGAGTATTCGTTCATCCTGTTGAAGTGGAGTAGATGATTAACTACTAGACTGCAGACCTTTACTTGAAAGCAAGTATTCATTGCTGGGAATATTCTTCCTTGGGGGCCGGGCCTATCTATTCTCCACTATTTTAAGAACTCCTTTGATTTTAACTATTGGCCCTCTCAGAGTACAACCACCTGCCCCCCCCCCCATAACATGTGTAATTAACATGCATTCATATTAAAAAATACATTCAATAACATCATTATAGGGGGTAAATATGTCATATTTCTTCATTACTTGTGTAATGCTAGATGGCCGGGGTAGTACCCTTAACTATGGATAGCTTTGGACCCGCTCTGGGTGTGTGTGGAGAGCTACACACCAGCAAATCAATTGTCTGATTAACATGCATATATGTTAAATAACCTTCAAGATTTATATGTCAGAAGACAGGCAGAGATGTAGACATTAATGTGACTACACTTCAAGTAATATATATAGTTTATGTGATAGCCATTATATGGTTAAATAAGTAATACTACATAATCGCCGGTATCCGGTGCAATAATAGCACGTATTATTTCGCTACACTGTACTTGGGCTCAAACAATCGTTTCTATAATAAATGCGACAATAATTCACTGTAATGGTTTTATTCACTGCCCTTCATTTCAATGATATCTTATGAAGTATTTAACACTGGAGTTCTCAGTACTTCCTTTCGTGGGCGATAACACAATAAATCACTGCACTCGCAAATGGTTATTCAATGCACGAACATAGACATATATAATATAGATAAATCAGACATCAATAAATGGGAAATAAATAGTTACTGGGCACATAGCCTAACTTCCAAATACTGGCATGATATTATATATAATTTCTCACTATATGTTCACATCAAAGTCTCATGAAAGACATTCTCAACACATTAAATTCCTCACTTATTCCGGGTGCCTGTACACACCAATAATAATATATATAAGTATCGTGAGTACTCTTGATTGTACTATTCTGCACACTGGTGCCTTACTGTGACATTGGTGAGCCTTGCTCATGACATACAAAATCCTCAGGCTAAATAATATAGCCGAATAATATAGCTGACTAAAGGGGAACGGGGAGGGAAACTAGAACCACCTACTTCCACCTATCCTCCGATGAGAGTTGAGATGTAGCTCCTGGTCCTCGTGTCGGGAACGCCCCCACACACACGTTGTCGTATCCTCCAGGAACCCACTCGCTGTCCCACCGTTTAGCGCGTCGTCTCCGTGCCTTCTTCCCAGCAGGTCCGTGCTCCTCCTCGACTTCTTGTAGGGTTGGAGTCGATCTCCTGGCCGTCGACTTCTCCCAGCTACGGCTGCCCGCCTACTTCTCGGCTGCAGTCGTCCGGATTCCCAACTAGTCCTCTTCTTCCTCTGCTACCCAGTGGCTCTGGTCAGCCACTACGCCGTCACGAATGGGTGAACTGCCTCAGACGTCGCCTACGTCACTGCACAGACTTCACTTCTTCTTGCACAGTACCTGTCCTGGAGCACTTGTTGCTCAATAACCGTCACACATGAACACTACATTCAATGCCATCATTATAGTCGGTAAATATGTCATATTTCTTCAATACTTGTGTAATCCAAGGAGGTTTTGGGGTATGATTGGGTAGCTATGGCTGGCTTTGGGTAATTAGATGGTCTCGATCTGGGCGTGTGGAGCTGCACGCATCACCCAATCAATTGTGTAATTATCATGAATTCATATTAAAATTACATTCAATACCATCTTTATAGGGGTAAATATGTCATATTTTTTCATTACTTGTGTAATGCTAGATGGCCGGAGTAGCATTGGGTAACTGTATGGGTAAATACATGGACCCGCTTTGGGTGTGTGGAGCGCTATACACAAGCCAGTCAATTGTCTAATTAACATGCATTCATATTAAAAATACATTCAATAACATCATTA